TGTACGTCCAAAAATAGAATGTATAGTCGTTTTTTTGCTGCATCTGGATCGTGCAAGAATAGAATGTATAGTCGTTTTTGCTGCATCTGGACTGAAAGGTGAGCCAAATGCGGCTCTATTGCCAGGGGGGGGGGGGGGGGGGGGGGGGGGGAAAATGGGTCAATTAATAAAATAAACAAGCAAACCCAAAAAAAAATAAAAAAAAAAAAAAATTAAAAAAAAAATTGGGGGGGGGTAAAAAAAAAAAAAAAAAAAAAAAAAAAAAAAAGAGCTCGCTGATCCTATTCATGACTTTAAGGGACGCTGGGGCCGGTTTCCAGCTGTTATTAAAAATGTTTTTTTACAAATTATAAAAAAAAAATGAATTTTTACAAATTATTAAAAAAGAAGGATTTTTTACAAATTAATTAAAAAAAAAAAGGAACTCAATGCTCCACCAGCTCATAACGGTCGAACAGTGGAACAGCGAGTTCTTATTTACACAAACAAAGAAGCGTCAAAAATACGCTGAAGGTTCAATGAAGAATCCATTCTCGGAAACGGCTGGCTGGCCATCCCATCTATAAGCGCTCACGAGCCTATGGGGCAAAAGGCATGAAGCGTAAATACGCTGAAGTCAAGATTCAGTAAAGACTCCATTCGCGGACGACTGATTCTTTCTCTTCATTTACCGCTATCGAGCCACAAGTCAGCCACATACGAATTCTACGCATGCGTTCTATTCGGAGTGAGAATTTGTGGAGGTTCACCTGACCAGTAATATCTTCTCTGCTGTCTGCACCGCCCGTCCCGACTCAGGTTCCTCAATCAGATGGCCAGCCAGCCGTTCGTCCGACAGTCTGCCACGTGGATGGGTCGGTCGGTCAAGGAATCAAGCAATCAAGTAGCCAGTCAATCAAGTAATCAATCAATAATTAGTCAATCAGTCAATCAGAGTCGATCACCAAAAAAAAAGCCAATCAGCCAGTCAGCCAATCAGTTCGATTAATCATCCATCCATCCATCCATCAATCTATCAAGTCATCAATCAGTCAATCGACGAGTCTCTTAATCAATCCCATCAGTCCATTGATCGTTCAATCAATCAATCAATCAATCAATCAATCAATCAATCAATCGATCAATCAATCAATCGATCAATCAATCAATCAATCAAATCAATCAATCAAACCAATCAATCAATCAATCAATCAATCAATCGATCAATCAATCAATCGATCAATCAAATCAATCAATCAAATCAATCAATCAAACCAATCAATCAATCAATCAATCAGAGAGTGCATCTATCAGTCAATCAACGAGTCTCTTAATCAATCCCATCAATCCTATTGATCGTTCAATCAATCAATCAATCAATCAATCAATTGATTGACTGAAGTGTTCGACTGTGGAGTGCAATCAATCAATCGACTGAAGTGTTCTGCTGTGGAGTGCCTGTGTGTTTTGCATGCAGATGAAGAGTCCTGACATCCGGACACTATGGTATCGCTTCATCCACGTGGCAGCACCTTATTGGAGCTCAGAAGACAAAACGCAGGCTCGATTACGCGTTGCAGCTGTGTTTTTAATGACCCTTGCAACCACTGGCATTAGTGTGGCTTTCAATTTTCTCGGTCGGGACTTCTACAATGCGTTGTCAAGTATGGGGATCGCAACTTAATTCCCTTCCCTTTTTTTTTTTTTTGGCCTTCTTCTTTTCTTTTTACCCCCCCCCCCCCCTTCCCCTCCCCGCTTTGCTAAGCCGACTAAGGGGATCCTCACAGTAGGACTTCGTCTTTACTTAATGTTTGGACGTAATTGCGGTAAGATACATCCTGGTCCGGCCGTAAATGCGGTCAGATACATTTTTAAGATCGTCCTAGTGTGAGTACGCCCTATCTGAGTTCCACATGTGTCCTATCATAGACCCATTTCCCCCCCCTTCCCCTCCTTTTTTACTTTTCCCTCACCCCATCCCCCCCCCCCCC